TTTTTTTTTAATACTGCTTTATATTTGTTTATTATATTATATTAATAGAAAAAATAAAAATAAAAATATTTAGACATTTAAAAATTAAAATTATTTATAAAATTATTCAAATATATTGAATAAGTTTTTTCACATGTTAACTCATTAAACTTATTTAAATCTTTTTATTATTTTTTTAATATTTTAATTGGAAAAACTGTATTTATTTTTTTACAATACTATTAATATTTGCAGTGAATTTTTTTTTACTTGATTTTACAAATTAAATACTATAATAAAATACGTGATAAATTAATTAAATAAACATTCAATACAATAATCAAATATTACAAATGAAGAAAAAATAACAAACATTTTCTTTGATCCCACTGAATCACTGGATTCAAAATATATTAAGTATCAAAACTGAGAAAAAAATAAAATTGTCAGTCCCATGGACTCAACGAACACTCCTCAGGCATTGTTTGGAAGCGTTGATAATCCTTGCAATAATCATAGACAACAAGGTTTCTCTGCACCCAAGCATAATCGTTCTTCTGAGTGCTCGATAAATGCCACGCGTTATATTGGTCCCACCAATTTTTTGTTGTGGTGGAAACGCACGCAGGGTATGGATCCTCCCACTGGCAGGCGTCGATGTTGAAGTCCTTGTAAGACGACACAAATGGGGCCTTTTGCCAGTCCGTTTTCTCCAGCCCACCTCTCGTGGCCCAGTCATCTGCATTCCATATGCTGGAAAATAAATACATGGGCTTTTCATTAGGGAAGAAATTGTTTGCTTCACCGTTGTTCTTGTACACCCTGATTGGAACTTGATCCACGAAAAACCTGTTTGGAAAGTGAGAAAAATTTTGAACACCATGTAGAAAATTTATATAGATAAGAATCAAGATGATGAGTTAGAGAGAATTACAGGATCTGGTGGTTGTTCCAGAGGATGGAATAAGTGTGATATTCCTCTGTGGGGTCGAACCAAAGCATGTGCCTCATTTCGCGATTTCCAGTTCCATTCTTGTAAATATTTGTTTGGATCAAATAGGGCTGTCCTGTCCTGTTCCCCAAGAACTCAAAATCCAGCTCGTCTCTCTCTGGCCCTGCCCCATTCTCCGAGCACATCTGTTATTCAATTCGTTAATGTTTTTCAAACATCTGTAATAGCTAAGCATCGTAACTAATTACAGAATTAGGAAAAGGACTTACATAGTAGGCTGTCACCACGCCGGCAGAGTCGCCTCCGACCAATTTTAGTTTCATGCTAAACCAACCAAATCGGTATCTCTGTTTGGTTTGAAATCCGCAACCTATTTAAATTTGACTCAGATTACATGAATTGTAAAAGAAACTTGGAGATGGAGCATGGTATGTACAACTAAACAGTACACAGAAATTAGCTAAAATGGTTGAGTTATTTCTCATGAATCTACCTGTTTCTTTGTCCAAGGAGAGGTACCAGATCTGCCCATCTTCGGAGGTTTTGAAATGGCTGTCTTTGCACATCATACTGAAATTCTCTTCGAAGGAGACTTTTGAAGCTGCTTCGGAGGAAGAACATGAAGCAGCCATTAAAGCTGCAATGAAGAGAAGAGGAGCCATGGGAGAGACGACCCTTCTCTTCATTTTTGCAGGGGGGGGAATGGAAAGGGGAGAATGGAGCGTCGGATGGGATCTCTGAGAAGGAGATGTGCATTGAATGATCAGTATTTGAAAATTAAAAAAGTCTATAATATTAATTATTGGGCTTTGGTTAAATTTACAACTTTACCCACATGGAAATACATCATTGTTTTTTTTCTTTTTGGTTGAATTTAGAACTTTAATTTTTTTTTTAATAAAACAGAACAAATGGTTTAATTTACGAAGAAAGGAGTGAGAGGAGAGATTACACATGTTTAAACCCTCACTAACGAATGAGTAAGGTTTTTACATTTAGATATTTGATCAATTAATTTGAAAGATTTTCTTTAAAAAGCCTTTTATTATTTAGTAGAAATTTTCATATAAAATTTTAAATAATAATAATGATAATATTATGTGCAAACAGTTAAGGAGCTAATAATAATAGTCTAATATTAAAAGTAAAAAAATTTTATTCAAATAACATTATATATATGAAATGAGTTAAGAGATTAAAGATTTTTATTTTTTATTATATGATATAGAATTTGAATAAAAAAATAAATATGTAAGAAAACCGACATGGGTATTTTGGGAAATGGGATGATGCTTGGAGAACAAAGACGGAGAGGAAGCCAGGCTGCCTTCCGTTGGGAGCGAGGGGCAGCGAGCAAAATAGAAGGAAGTGGGGTGGGGTCCAAGTGTTCTGAGTAAAGAACGTGAGTTTGATTTTGATTGGCCATATAATAATCGGGAAAGTTATTAGATTGACAACTCACCGCACAACTGGATTTTTGGTGGTGGTACCTGAGCGATCTGCTCAAACAGCACCGCTACAAATCACGAAAAGGAAGAAAATATTAAAAAAAAAAAAAGTGAATTAAATTTAAACCCACTTTTTCTTTGGTCAAAAAAGAAAGAAATTTGCTCTACATTTTCCTAATCTTTGATTCTCTTTATAAGACTTTAATTATTTTGGCATCCTAGTTAATGATTTATTAAATCTCCACTAACCACTTGTCGGTTATGTTTTGGGCATGGTTGGTCCGCATATTATTTTTAGGATAAAAAAAAAAAAATTCGAGAAAGTCGTGCAATTTTAACATTGTATAATAATTTTGAATTTTAGTCTTTTTACTTTAAAATTGTTGAGGAGAAAATTTTCATATTGAATCTAAAAATAAAGAAATATGGGTTAAATATACGAAAGTTACTTCACATATTATCAATTAATTTTAAGTTAGATGCAGTGAACTCACATGCATAATTTTCATATGATATTTAAACTTAAATTCTGTCATGAGAAACTCATTGTTAACTCATTTGACAGAATCCGAAGCAAATTCTATCTTAAAAAACCATTATTAACTTATGTGATAGGATCCAAAATTAAAGTTAAAACCAGACTTGTATGTAAGAGGACCCATTAAGCTATATGACAAAATTCAACATTCATAACAGGCTTGCACGTGAGGGGATATGTTATCAATTGATTTTAAATTTGATGTAAATCTTGTATTGAATTTACATACACAATTTTCACAAAAATAATTAAGAAATTTTTTATTTAAAATTTATTTTAAAATAATTGTAATTTTTTTTTTATATTTTGAATGAGACAAATTCTAACTTGTTATGTGAAAAATTAGTTGGTTATATGCACATAAAAGTTTTCATCTCGTATTTTTTTCTGGATGAGCATTTGTGGGTATATAAGCGATTATATATCAACTCAGAAAAATCACATTTTAAGGTTGTGGTTTGATGAGTTTGGCAACTCTTTATAAGTCAACAAAGTTTTTGTTTCTATTTATTTTCTTCGGTGTTTTCCACTCTTAATTGAAAAATAAACAACAAGGCCAAAAAAAATAAAAAATGGTTAACAACTTTTTCTTTTGTCTTTGTCTACTTTTTTTGAGAATAACAATGGTTATA